GAGGAGGGGGGTGACGTGGCCAACCCCTACTGGCGAGATCGCCGTCCATGGGACATGTGAGGGGAAGCTGCCGCTGATGTGATGAGATTGTGAGAGGAGTCTCCTGACCACGGGCCCTGATCTGTGGGCGAAGGTCTGCTCCTTCAGGTGCAAGGGAGGAAGCTGAAGCAGAGCAGGGTGTCCCCTGCAGCCATCATCAGCCCTTTTCTCGTGCCAAGCCTGGCCCTGCCAAGGCCCCGTGTGCCGGGGCTCCTGCAGCAGCACTGTTCCCTGGAGCACCAGGAGGTAGGAGACCAGGGACAGGCAGGTGGGAGATGCCTCCTGTCCAGGGACAGGGCTGGAGGGGTGGGAGCCTGTGCTGGGCACGGCAGGGGACAGGGTCCTTCCTGGTGCAGCCTGGGGCTGGCGTGGGGCTGGCGTAGGGAAAGGTGGGGAGTGCTGGGAGTGCCAGTGCCCCTCATTTCCTTCTCCTTCCTCGTCTCTCCTAGGAGGTGGTGGGAGAGGGAGAAGGCGGCCAGCCAGAGCAGGGTCAGTCACCATGGAGGAGATGAGCGCAACAGACCCCTCTCTGATTAACGTGACTTCTGGAGATGTGGACTATTGGGAAAATATCAGAAATGAATGCTTAAGACTACATTATGGATTGATAATCTTTACAGGTGTCTCTATGGGGATTTCTCTCTGTGGACTCGTGGGGAATGGGATAGTCATGTGGTTCCTGGGCTTCCACATGAAGCAGAACCCTTTCACGGTCTACTTCCTAAATCTAGCTGTTGCTGACTTCTCTCTGCTCCTCCTGTTTTTTATGCTCATATTGGCATTTTTGAACTTAATAACAAATTGTTCTTATTTGTCTGATTTTATTCCCTTCTACATAGATTTTGTATGTATAATTGAATTTCTGTGCCACTTCTTTGACCTTAGCAGCCTGGGTATCCTGACAGCAATCAGCGTGGAGCGGTGCATCTCTGTATTCTTCCCAATCTGGTATCGCTGCCACCGCCCAAAGCACTTATCAGGGATTGTGAGTGGGGCGCTCTGGGCTCTCGCTGGATTTTTTGTTTTCTCAATGAGTCTTAGCTTTAGCTTTGCCGAAGGCTACGAGACGGTATTTGCAGGCATAGCCATTGCCATTGCCATGATTTTGTCATCAATGATGTTGATTTCCAACCTTCTCCTGCTCATCAAACTCCAATGTGGCTTACAGAGACGACAGCCAGGGAAACTCTATGTTGTTGTCCTGCTCAGCATGATCTTCTTCTTTGCCCTTGGTATTCCTTTTGGTGTAGAGGTCTTCCTCAATCTTCCAAGTTCACATGAATTATTACCTGAAAAGACAACTTTTCTGCTGGCATTGCTGAACAGCAGCATCAATCCAGTCATTTACTTCCTGGTAGGGAGCTGCCGGCAACGCCGGTTCCAAGGCTGCGTGAAAGTCGCCCTCCGACGTGTGTTTGAAGAAAAAGTGGTGAGCAAGAAGGAGAGCCATGTGCCTGAGGACACTGCTGTGCAGACCCCTCTATAAGGCCCTGCTGGAGAGCAGATCCTCACAGACAGCTGGGGGGGATGGAGGCATGGGGGCACGTGGCACTGCTCAGCTGGGCTTGGTCCCTGTGTCCAGGCTGTGCTCCCCATTGCAGGGACCCTCAATGTTCTGGCCCCAGAAAATAAACTCTGGCTCCTTTGGCTCAGCAGATGAGTTTTGTGGTGTTTTGGGGAACATCTTGCCTGAGGAAGTTCTGACACATTAGGTCCTTGGGGAGCTCTGGGCATCTCTGCTGGCCAAGCAAGGCAGAGATCTTGCCCAGAGAAGCTGTGACTGCCCCCTCCCTGGAAGGGTTCAAGGCCAGGTTGGACGGGGCTTTGGGCAACCTGGGATAGTGGAGGGTGTCCCTGCCCAGGGCAGGAAGGTTGGAAATAGATGATGATTGAATCCCTCCTGGAAAGGGGAGGAAGGCTTGGGGTGCTCCTGTGGAGCAGAGTGAGGGGGCAAGTGTCTGGACTGGCGTTGTGCCTCCTCTGTGGTGGGAACAGCCACCGTGGGAGCATCCTCAGGTGTCCTCAAGGTGGTGCCTCACCTCATGGCTGGTACGAGGTGACACTGAGCAAGGAGCACAGCCCAGGTAGAGTAGGGGAGGAGGACGGACCCCGGGTGTTGGCCAGGTCTGGTCCCTGCATGCCAACTTCTCCCTCGGCTCCAGTCCCGTGGGAGGCTCCTCCCAACAGCGATGGGTTTTGTTGCAGCTACCTCAGGCTCATGCAGAGACTTCCCATGGTGTGAGCGCCCTGTGCTGGTGGGACCCGGGAGAGCTCAGGCAGGGTAATGTGGAGGGTCAGCAGGGGCGGAAGATGCTGAGCCCCTGAGGCAGCCCGAGGGGAAGAGAGCCGCATGTCCTGGACCCAACCTAATAAACTCTTGTTCCCTTTGATCAGTGAATGAATCTTTGCGGTCTTTTAGGGGATCTAAATATGATTTTTTGAAGCTAGGTCTAAATCAGAGAAAGAAGTGAAAATGTTCTGATCAGAACATTCAAAGAAATAACAGGGGTCATAGCCTTTCTTTTTTGTTTCTCTTTTTACAGGGCAGCACTTTCACTGAAGCCATTTGGTGTTAGTTAACAGGGTTTGGAGAACATTCGATGGTTGAGTACAACATTGTTTTAGCAGAGGTTTCACTAGAAACCATGATACCTCCCAACTGTCTTCTCCCCTTACCTCATCAGTCTCTCAGCTCTACGGATTGTGTTTACGGGATCTCTGTGTTCACAGTGGGGTCACCTGACACATCTGTGATTCCTGCATTGTGGGGATCCCTCCCACCCGAATACTTTACATTTATTTTATTTCTAACTGAAGTTCTCTTCAACAATAAAAGAGAAAAATAAATCACCATAACAATAGAAGTATTGCTGTTTCTTATGATAGTCTTGGGACATATCTGGGGGAGGATTTGTAGGTATAGGCACTATATAGGACCTTGCTGGAATTCACTTTCACATAACTGCAGCTCCCATGAAAGCTTTGCTCTTTCATGGGCCAGAAGGAGCCTCGAGATGCTGCGGACAACAGCCAAAGTGTTTACACAAGTGTAAATGTCTAATCCGAATGGCACAGGAGGAATGTCTAAACCCTGGAGCTTGCTAAGCACGGGATAATGAGTGTTGGTGCAGTAAAGATGGCACATGAACCTTGGGATACAGATCAAAGAGGTGCCAGGATGGCCAGAGGTACTGGTAGAAATGGGGAACAGGGATAGCATAAAGTGTTTGCATGACAAAGGGTTGGCTTGGACAGGACAGATGAAGGAAAACGTCCCCAGCGTGCTAAATCCCCATGTTTATCTTGGGTGAGTCACACAGGGGCTGGTCCTACGCCCTCTGGAACCACTGCAGAAAGAGTTATTCACCTGGCAAAGAGCAAGTGCGGCTGTGAAATATCAGACTAACAGCTGGAATTAGCTGTTCTAAAATAAGTTTGTTTTTTCTGTCCTTTTTCAGCACACACTGACTTGAAGGTTCTTCCTGTGTCAAATAAAAAAATATTTATCTGATCCAGTCCCTATTTTCTCTCTTCATTTTCCCTTTGTTTATTTTATTATGATTTCCCTTATACTTAGTGCTTTGACAGTAATTCAAGTACTGTTTCCTCTACAACATATTGTGCAATGAGTATGCCTGGTTCTTCTCAGATCCCTCCTTTTTGTCAGGAGCTTCCCATAAAATGGGTGATGCATATATTGCTGCTCTAATTCAAAGCAAAGCTCTGATGGAAACACATCCTAAGGAAGCTCTGGAATAGACATAATGGACTGAGATAACATGATGTATTTTAAGATGGAGGAAATCATATTCCAAATATCCATGAGAATCAACAATTAAGAACAGAGAACAGTAAAAACAAACCAATTAAGTAGGTGCCAATATTGATATAATTACCAGGACAGAAACAATCTGTATAAAATAGGAATATCTGTCAGTGAAAAAGGATGTTTTCTATCTGCTTATCTTCCAAAGTTTCTTTCTGTTAGTCATTTCCTCTACTCAGAGAAGATTAGCAGTCATAAGCATCGCTGAGTGCTCTAAAACTTGGTCTGTGTTCAGAAGAAATTCTAGTCTCAGATGACATCCATTCTCTTAGGGAAGAAACAAGGTGAATGGCGTATTGAGGATTAAGTCGGACATGGCTGATGCTGCGTAGAGTGTCCAAGAGTGTAGGGTGTCCAAGAGCCCACGCAACAGCCTTGGCCCAGCTATTTCTGTGGCTTAATTCCTTGAATTTCTTGACCCACTTGAATTTCTGTGACCAGTCAGCTTTACTGCAGGGATGTGTCACACTATATGAGATGTATTCACTCAGGGAACATCCCCAGCTGCCTGAGCTGGGGTGAAGGAGGGAGAAAAGGCCCCTTTGTTGCTACACAGGTGAGTTTTGAAGGTGCATGAAAGGAGTAGAAATAAGGACAAGTGAGTTCTGCCATAAAGGTACATTCAGAAAGAGAATGTCCTTGACCAGCGCTAATCCTGCCTGTGGTCTCCAACACCTTGTGACTCCCCTTGTGATTCCCCCCAAAGATGTTCTAGATTTCTTCTGGCCAGGGCTCCCATGGGACACCCATAGGGATTTGAAGCAGATGCCAGGAGAGAGGATCTGAAAAGTCTAGTCTGTGCCTGCAGCCAGGTAAGACCTTTTGCTGCCAGGCCTTGCAGAGACTCCTCTGCTGTGCAGGACTGTGCAGGGTGTGCCTTCCTCAGCCCCTTATGAAGCTCTTCTGCACCATCAGAAGCTCAGCCCTTTGTTCATTTTTCCCCTCCCCAAAATCTGCCCCCTGCCTCTGTGTCCCTCCCTTTTTTTTTTAAATAAGGCTTTTGGTTGGTTTGTGGCCGAGGTGGTTTTGGCAGGCTCCTTCTGTGAGCCCTTAGGGACAGTGGGGAGGAGAACACGCGCAGAGGAGCATCGCTCCCACATCGCTCCTGGCCTCCAACACACTGCGGGCATGCTTGTGTCTGTGTTTCTTTTTGAACAACTGGTTTGTTTGGGTTTTTGAAGAATAAATGTGGGGTGAAGGGAGATGGCATATAGGCTTTATAATATAAAAATAATTGGTTCTGAAATTAGTTTTGAGAAGGCATTTTTGACAACATGCTAGCTATGAAATGGCTATAGAAGTGAGAAAGTTGGTGGAAAAGGAGCTGAAATGTTGGTTCAAGAATGACAGCTGAAAGAAAAAGCAAAGACCAGGGAGAGCCATTTTAAGATGCTGTTTATTAAATGACACCCAAAGAGAGTGACAGTAAGTGAAGTAAGCTAGCCACAAAGACAGTTCTCATGCTTTATCACGAGTCTAAATATGCAAAAGTTCATTTGAATTTGTGGTTAATATAGGGCGCTAGCAACAGGGCTTAGTATAGACCTAAATTAGACATATGTTCACTTTTGCTCAAACTCCCAGGATCTAGGGCCCAATGCTTGAAAGGAATCTTTATGTTTTTCCTCTCTTTTTCCTTCTCTCTCTATTTCAAAAGGTGATTGGGCAAAAAAAGGGAGAAGTTTAAGAGGACATAGTTATTGTGTCACGGGTTTCCCGTTCATCTTTGTCATCTGCTGACTCTTCAAAGGCCCTCTGGAATGCCAGCCTGAGGGTGAACTTGATTCTCCGATCCCTGTAGCTCCCCACGAGGAAGTAGATGACGGGGTTGAGGCTGCTGTTCACACAGGACAGCACAAAGCCGATCTCCGGCGAGTACAGGAATTTGTAGCCCAAGAAGTCAAAGAGGATGAGGATGCTCAGAGGCACGGCAAAAATGAGGAAGAAGAGGATGGTGAGCATGATGATGGTGAAGAGCCTGCCTGTTCGGAAGTGCTGGGAGCTGCACTTGACTCTGAGGAAGAGGGTCAGGCTGAAGAGCAGCATGAGGGGCGTGCAGAAGAGGAAGTCCAAGGTTCCGATGGTGATGAGCAGGAGATTGCAGCTCCTGCCCGAGGGGTTAAGGGTGCACAGAACATACCCGAGGGTGTTCAGCAGCAGGGAGAGACCCCAGAGCAGGCCGGAGATGATGGCGGACAAGTGCTTTGGGCGGTGGCTTCGGCACCAGATTGGGCAAAGCACAGACAGGCACCTCTCAATGCTGATGGTGGTCAGGAGGTACAGGCCGGTGCCATACATGAAGAGATCCAGGAAGAGGAATACCCCAAACTGCACCCCCACGTTGAACTGCATCAGGTACTGGACCGTCTCAACGGCGATGCAGAGGAGATACCCGAAGTCGGCAGCGGCCAGGTTCAGGATGTAGACGGTGAAGTGGTTTCTCCGGATGCGGAAGCCCAGGTACCACAGGACTATGCCATTTCCCACCATCCCACAGGCAGCGCTGATGAGGCAGAAGCTCTCCATGAACTTGAGGACAGCGTATGATGGCTCTGCCTTTCCCACAGCCCCGCTCTGGTTAGTCCCATGAGTCTGGCTTGCGTTGCTTTGGGGAGAGAGTGTTATGAGCTTCTCAGTCATGATGAAATACCCCAAATCAA